ACTTCTTACTTTCGAAATTGAATATTTTTATTTGCAAAAGTCCCGCCTCCGGACTTTTCCATAACCCGGGCAGGCTGGGGGTGGGGGGGGGGCGGATGGCCAACTTTTAAGAAAGTTCAGAAGGGGGGCGGGGAGATCCGGGGTTGCCCGGACCAACGGTGGTGGTGGGAGGGGTTTCCTTCCTTCCTTGACGCCCCCTCCCCAGCTCGGTTCTGGCCACCCTGGAAAGAGGCTTCCAAGTTCGGCTGCGGCTGGGAAAGCCGGGCCGGGACTGCGGCGCGGGGGACCCCGACTCCCATAATCCTGGCGGCGGGGGAGGATGGGGGTGGGAGTCGCCCTGCGGAGGAAGGGGGCGGCCACGGAGCCCGGCATTTCCTCCAGGCGGGGCGGCCGCCCAGCCCGATCCAGCCCGGCCGGGAAGGGGCTGAAGCCAGGCGCCCATCCCGGGGGCAGCCTCCCCTTCCCCCGGGGGGCTCGGCCGGCCCGGCTCACCTTGAAGTCGTTGCCGCTGAGATCGACGCCGCGGATGAAGGGCAGCACCCCGGTGGCGGCCATGGCCGGCGGAAGGCAGCGGGGCGGCGGCGGCGGCGGCTGCGGGCGCCGAGCGGGGAAGCGCGGCCGGGGAGGCGGCGGCGGCGGCTCTTTCGGCGGAGGGAGGGGAAGGGAGGGGAGGGAGGCGGGGCCTCGCGGGGCCACGCCCCCTTAACCCCTTCCTCCCCCCCTCTCCTGGGCATTCTTTTTCTCGTTAGCCCAGGGGGTCCTCGACTTACGACCACGGTCGAGCCCAACCTTTCTGCGGCTCAGCCAGACACGTTGGCTAAGTGAGCTTGGCTGCATTTTGCGACCGCCCTTGCCGCCGTTGTTAAGCGAATCCCTGCCGTTCAGTTGGTAACACCGGTGGGTAAGCGAACCCGGCTTCCCCATTGAGTTGGATTGTCGCCGAAGGAGGATCACGTGACCCCGGGGACACCACGGCCTAACTATGATTGATTTGATTTTGATTTTGATTTTGATTTTATTAGATTTATACCCCGCCCTTCTCCTGGCGGACCCAGGGCGGCTTACAGCAAGCTAAAAACAGATAAAAACCCTACAAACACCATTTTAAAATATAATTAAAAGAAATATTAATTTTGCCGTTTCATTTAAAATTTTGTTAACACCCAATATAAAATCAAATTAAAATCCAATCGGTTGCCAAGTGTCTGAATTGTGATCACGTGACCATGGGGGGGGGAAATGCTGCAATGGTCGTAAGTGTGAAAAATGTTCATAAGTCACTTTTTTCAGTCCCCTTGCAACTTTGAACTGTCACTAAGTAAACTGTTGTAAATCAAGGACTGCCTGTAACAATGTTGCTAATATTGTCAGGGGCCAAGATTAGCCTAAGTTCAGTAACTTCAAGGTACATGGACTCCAACTCCCATAATCCCCCACCACCAGAGTTCTGCCCTGGAAAGAGGGAAAATCTCTCCCTTAGGCTTAGCCGGCCAATCCCAGCCGCCACGCTTCCGGGATGGCCTTCGCTCCTCTGGCCGGACTTGGCTGGAGAGGAGCCTCCTCGCTCGGCATCGTCTACCTGCCACCCGCCCGAAAGAAGAAGCGCGCGGCCCCTTTAAGGCGGCGCAGTTCCGGGGAAGCGGAGGCCGCGGAAGAGACTCGGCGTTCGGAGCAGAACGTTGGGAGAGGGCGGCGCGCTGCCATTGGTTGCGCGGGGCGGGGGGCGGAGCTTTCGGTGGCGTTCCGTCTCGGGCCGCGGCCCTGCGCGCTTCGCTGCGGGCGGTTGAGGGTCGGTCGGCGGCGCTCCGGAAGGTTTGTTTTGGGTGGGGGGCTCTGCGGGTGTCTTGGAAGGCAGGGGAAGGGGTCCTAGAGGGGGAGAGGGTCCCGGAGGGGGAGGAGGTCGTGCAAGGTCAGGGGTCTCGGAAAGGGGAGGGGGCCTTGGAAGGAGAAGGCTCTTGCAAGGGCAGGGGCCTGGGGAGGGGGCCTTGGATGGGGAGGGGGCCTTGGAG